GGTAACCTAAAAATGGTAACATCTAAATTATTATTAATTATTATTATATAATTATTAATTAAATCAACCTAAATACATACATTTATACCACCAAAACTACTTAATGTGTGTTGTTGAATCATGTAGAAATAGCTCTTTAAAGTAACAACTTCCGGTTACCACTTTTATAGTGTATATAGTGTATAAAGTTGTTGTATTTGCACTTTTATGGTGCTTTTGTGTTCGTTCAGGCTTCAGTGTAACTGCATCGAAAAGAGCAGCAGCACATTTTTCAAAATGTCTCATTTTGAGTTTCACGGACGAAAGAATGTAATACGGGTTTGGAATGACGTAAGAGTGAGTAAACAATGACAGTGAATAATAATTAGATCCCTGTTTCTTTAAGACCAAGTGTAAACAAATCTGTGCCATTGTGCTCACGAATGTGTTTAACGAGCTGTGAAACAGTCTGGTAACTTTATGAGTATATGAGTAAGCAGTCACATTGGCAGCTGGTTTTAAGGTGTGTAGTCTGGTCGCTGACGGAGCCACACCTTGATCAGCAGATAACCGGTCAAGAATACAAACTAAAAGTGGGTGAAAGGCAAAACAAAGTCCGTTTCATTCGATCACAAGCCTCTCTATCTTCTTTCTTCCTTTCTGCTGCTCTCTCCAATCGCCCCTCTTTCTCGTTCTAACAATGACCTCACTGTTTTTGGTTTATTTTCGCACACTGAGTGTTAGACACACACTCGTATGACACGGTTTCTCATGGATTGCGTCACTTGAAGAAGTCAAAAACCTGACTTTCTGTTTCTGCCAGTTTTGCCACAGTCGACACTCCCCTATGCCAGCCTCAGGCTGCTCGACTCAAGGAGTTCCCAGCGTTTAGCAACACTCGCACCTGAAGTGTCTCAAACTCACAGTTTCTCTGAGATCGTGACACATGTGTGAGCTGTTTGTGCATGTGTTCAGAGAGAGTGTGTATGTGTGAGCTGTAGGTGACATTACAGACCTTCCTGTCGCCCTCGTATTATATTGAACATTTCATCTGAGACCTACAGGTTTAATTGTTATAACCTCTGTGGTGTGTATGTAGTTTTTAAACCACTTAGACCTCAGCTTTAACCGTGAAGGGAATAGAAACACACAGACATAACCAGTTGTTAAAGAGGTTTTGCTGCAGTTCTCGGTTAGTGTTCAGTATTTTGGCCTCCACAAGAGGTCTGTCTATAGATGCATGTAAAAATAAATGGTATAGCTATGACTTTATTGTCTGTGTGCCAATTTTCATATTATCTGAAATAGTAAGCAAGAATAGAATTAGTGCAAAATGCCTGAGGGTGCACATACAGTATATGCATATGAGTTAAAAAAAAAAATGTTTCATATGAATTTAAAAATAAAATTTCTATCATCATTTATTCACTGTTTCAAATGCATTTGACTTCTTCTATAGAGCACAAAAAGACATGTTTAATATATCCCAGGCTCATTGGAAAAAAGTGTTACTTTCTACCAAAAACGTACCCAGCTGAAATGAACACTAGTGGCAGTAAAACACCAACAACCTTTATTCCTTTTCACACAGATTATGATTACAGGGCAGATTGTTGATTAACA